CGCTTTTCTGTAATGTGCGAACAAAGGCAAATTAAAAAAAAAAAAAATGACAGTTTGCATTTCACCCATTCCGTTCGCGTATCAGAGTATCGTTTCTCTCAACAAATAACAAGATCGACGCGTACAGCATTCGGCGGTGATTTTTCAAAAACGGCCGGTACGTGTGCGCGTACACCCTGCGGCGATAATAAACACTAAACCAATATACGATATACGAGCATATACGGTACACGATAAAATTCGTGTCGCTCCGTGGGCACACTTAATCTGTTTTATATATAATTATATAAATTTGTGTTTATATTATACGTGCGTAAAAGCGACGTGTAATTGCACGGCCGACCGCAACCGCGATCGGAGGTGACCGCGCGGGGGCGTGTGAACGGTCGCCGGCGTTTCCGACAAAACTGTCAATATATTAATCACGCGGCGTCCGCCGTGTTCTGGCCACAAGCTGATTGACCACCATCGCCGATGACGACGACGACCACCACGACCATGACGACGCATCCCCTCCGTGCAGCAGCTGGTGCGTGTATGCTATGTGCAGGGTGATTATTTTAATGCGATTCGGGCTTTGGGAAAATGTGAACGATCTAAATATAAATAGAATTACGTCCCTACTATTTCCGTACGAAATTCTAATCAACAAACAATATATTTCTAATACCATATGCGTCAATAAAAATGTTCCGGATAAAGAACTGCGGATATTATCGTTTGATCATCAAAAGTTTAAGGAAGTTTTTTTTCAAACAATACGAATAATGAAGATGTTTTAGATGGGAAAAAAATTTATTATATTTTCGTTTTTAAAAATACCCCTTTGGATTATTACTCCAATCACTTTTATTTAAAGCAAAGAAGGTCAAACTAACCGCTGTTACTAGGTTATAGTTATTGTAGTTCATTATAAATTTGATAGGTTTTTTTTTTTTTTAACAACCATTTATTTAAAACTTTACACAAACGTTTTTGAAACCAACTAAACTTAATTTAGATAAGATAGTTGAGTATTTCACCAAGCTTTTCCTAAAAGAATCACTCCGCCGTATTTGCATTCCGTATTATATATCGGTGGCGGCTCGAAGGAGGTATATTTGAATCAAACGATTCACAGAAATATTAATGGATGGATCGGTTTGTCGTATAATACAAGTATAATTGGTTTAGGCATGATACAGGGTTATACATTTACTGTACGTACCAATTAAATACCCATTACCTAACCTACGAATTCACCTTTTGGAGATCAGTGAAATAATTTTTTTTTAGTGCGGGTGGTGTGAAAATATATATAGAATGTGAGTGGAGAAAAACAATTTTCAAACTCAAGCCGCCACCTAAATGCATTACAAGCGGTGTATCACATTTATGCTCGCTACACCATTGCTATAATATATCCGTGGACGCCGATTCCGATGTGTGCGCGCACGGCTCATTTGTCCGTCGCGGGAAACTACCGATCGGTTATCTACCGCCGCCGGGCTGCGTCCCTCTTATTTACATTTAAACGAGATCGCCGACCGTCCGACTCGACATTAAGCGTCCCTTGCCCACGACCAGCCCACGCACCCGTTACATACGTGTGTATATCTTAATAAAAATATATACTACGCGTTATTGCCCAACAACCGATTCGGTGGCCCGTGCGCGAAACGAATTGGCCGCGCCGCCATCCGGTCACTCGTGAAAATACGTCCGATACGATTTTCCAAAGCATCGGCTTTCACGGTCCGAAACCTCGGGCCGCGTGCGCGCGCGTATAACTCATCGATTTGTCGTAGTCGCTGGAGCCGTTGCCGGCCGGACGACGCCGTACACTTGCGCGCAGTCTCAATTTATATACATTACGCGGTGTCCGTTAAAGTCGTTCCGTCCGAGTTTGGCACTCAATTTTCCAGACAAACTTGTAACAGCTACATAATATACATATATATATACGTATATAAACGTATATCACTAACCGCGTTTTATACCCTTACCTTGTACCCTGACCGCGCACCATCACGACGCTTCGTCACCCGACCCCCAAAAACCTTTGGCCGTTTCGGCCACGCGGAAAAGGCTTTAAAAGTTTTCCGAACACTTAATACGGTGAACGCGTATATTATCCTTACACACACATACACATACACACACACACACACACACACACACACACACACACACACACTTATATATTCATTTAATAGTATTACTTTTCTATAAGAGTATAATTTCTTTGATCTCTCTGATTGTCTGTATTATTTACGTTCAAACTTACATGTTTTAGGTATGTTATTCTGCATTGACACAATATTATTAGCCATAATGTTTCTTGTTTCTTTTCTCTCCAGTCACATGCACAACAGAAGATGTAAGATACCAATTGATTCGCATTTCAGATGGTTTTTAAATCATAATTATATCCGAATGTAATATCATATTATTCTACGAGAATGGTTAAAAACATAAATACATTATAAAATATTAATACATCTCAATTCATGATTTACACAAAAATTAAAATAATATTTATTGTACAAATGAGCAGCGTATATTGCCACCAACGACATAACCCCAAAATAGAGTCTGATCGTGTAAATACTTAAGACTCCTTATGTTCAATCCCACTATATTTTTCATGTACATCAATATTAAAATAAATATAAATAAAAACTATACATGATGCAAGATAATTATTATTTCATGTGTATGATAGTGTATATTACATTTTTACGGATTAATATAGTATGATAGTTATATCATAAGTAATAGTTATATACTCGCGTTACGTGGTACGTAAGTAAAGACACGATTCGTTTTCAGCAAAAATAATTCTAATTAAATAACAAAATAAAAAGTATTGAAACAAATAACAATTATTAGGACTAATAATAATCTTATATTATTTTTGATTGATTCAGTATCACTTACAAATATATTTTTCTGATAACAGTTTTATTTTAACATTAGCTAAATATATATAAAAAAAAAAAAAACATTTTTACATATATTATAAAGTTGTTAGCTTACGATGTTATATTTGCTGTTACATATATTATACGTATATGTACAATATGCAAGAAACACGTGAAACACGTGTTCTGTTTTCAGTGAGAATATTTTGTTTTACACGTTTAATTTTATTGAAACAATTTTTTTACATTATATTCTTTATTGTACGAGTAAAATGGCGGTTATATTAGTAAAATCACATTCTAGTTATAAGCTTAATATATATATATATATATATATATATACACATGTATATACATGTATACATTTATGTGTAAACTTACCGATGTAAACTTTGTAACCGATAGAATTTCTTTAGTCACTCAAGATCATTTATGGCATTATCCTTACACCTTTAACAAAACTATTTGTTCCCGTGTATGGTTAAGCGTTTAGGGTGGTTTAGTTCTCATCGATAAGACCACACATTGATGTTTTTCAACATGATTTATGAGATAAGAACTCACGAGCAAAAAAAAAAAAGAAAAAAGAAAAAGAAATTGCCACCGAACAACAACCACGTGTCTGTGAACACAAATCGTTGTCTATATATATATATTATATATAACATGCGGACGTTTATAAGGATGGAATGATTTGGTCACGTTTTCCCCTTCTGTTTTTCGTTCACGCGACTCCCTCATCCAAAACCGGTGTGTTCCGTAACTTCCTGTAAGCCGATCTTGTGACCCATCAACCGTCCGTCGTTGAGATTTATGTCTCGAAGAAATATATGTGTGTGTCTTTGACGCCAGCAACAGTAGTAGTAGTAGTACTGGTAAGTAGAGTACTAATAGCCGTAGAAGTGATGGTGATAGTTGTGAGTATAGTAGTCGCAGTGAGTATACTTACTTGTCGTCGATGTATTTTATCGCCGCGGGGGTGGGTCGCGAGAAAAACGAGACGAGCACACGGCTAATAGCTGGTCGATTATACGTGTTAAAACAGCTGTTTACAACTTGTAAGTCGATAAATCACCCCGACGATGTCGACGGCAACGACGACGGGCGTATGTATTACATAACGTACACGGTGTATCTTGCCCACGAGTAGCTTGTCACAAATCATATTGTATTTCGGAGAGACACTAAGCGTTTCATGGCGGGGGTGGTAGTAGGTGGACAAGGTCGTAGCGAGACGGGAGGACGGAAAGGAAAGAGGAAACGATCCAAAGACGTAATTCACGTGGATACGAAAATAGCCGCAGACGTTAAATTTGGCAAACCGAGTGGATTTCTTCGGTACGTGATCCTAAGCCGGTTCGCCGGAGACGAGCACATAATTCACCGGTATAATAGACTATTGCGGGTGCGTGCACGTGCGTATTTCTTTCCCGACCGTAATTTTACTCACACGCACATTTTCATTTCGTAAGCAATTATTTGTTAATCGTACGGGTGAGTACCTACTTTATTCCGAGATTAAATTGAAACGGTGCGGAAGAAGGCAAAATAACTATGCGTGTGGTTTTTATATCGTAAAGCTTAACGCTAATGTTTTGATTGTTATGTGGACGATAATCGGAAGTATTTATGAAATAAATCTCATGCGCTTACAACATTTTCTTAAACATTTTTAAGCCATCTTTTGTTCGATCAAGTAAATTAGGAAACTTACGTGTTTCAATTAACGAATACCAATTATTTCGATGTTGAAACACGTCTTCTGTTTATAAAACGTTTTGCTGTCGATAAACGAGTTATAACTTTTTTACAACTTTTGTTTTACGTTCGATGTCAATTAGATTAAATTGAAGTGGGCCAAAAAAATATATATATACATATGATAAATTATCGTGTCGCATTTGATAGCGACGCATGCGTTATCAATAAATTAAGTGTACAGAAATGCAAACAAATACTTGAACCGCTACACTTCTAGTTTATACTACCGATTGTGTAATAAATGACTACGTTTGAAAAAATAGTTTTGTGTAACTTTTGTCATGATATAACTTAAAAATACTTGTTATTTGAGTAGAGTTTAAATTATGATTACAGTGTGGGCAGAGACAGGAGACTTCCGTGATAATAATCACCATGGCATTTCTACGGATCACACGTCACAGCTTAACTTCGGTTCGTCTAGGAATAGAAATCGTGACAGAAAAGGTAAATACATGCGATCTAAAATCCATATTACTAGATTTTATAAAGCAAAAGAAGCAAACATTTGTTTTAACCTATTTAAATACAACGCTATAGATTCTTTTGAAAACCGTATAATTTAATACAAATAAAATTACACTTTTTCAGGACGAGCGGACACTATCGGTACGACTGGCATAAAAACCGAAGGCATTGATACGGGTGTTGGTGTTGTGACAGATGACGGTAAAGATGCTAATATCAAAAACAACAAAAACACGAAAAGACAAAGGAGGCAAAGGACACATTTCACTTCACAACAGCTCCAGGAACTAGAGGCCACGTTCACTAGAAACCGGTATCCGGACATGAGCACTAGAGAAGAGATAGCCATGTGGACGAATCTCACCGAGGCCAGAGTCAGGGTGAGTATATATAATGAAAGATATTTTTCCGCTGGGTTCGAAAGGAATAGTACGTATCAAAAGGTCATTGTGTTTTTCTTTTTTCACTTTCTCTTTAACATCAACATAAATGATTATTTTTATCATCATCCGACTGGTTATTGGATTTGCACATGGCTCAGTGCGTCAACGTTTTCGGATCCCTAACAATCCCGGGGATTGTCCCTTTTGCGGTAACGGGAGCCGAGGGTATGCGGAGAATAAAATGAGTAACCGATTGACAAAAAAAAAGTCGTGGACAAAGTCACCCATACTGATGGAGAGCAAGGGGATTGCTACAGGGATAATCCTTTTTGGTTTATATTAATACTGATGTACACTATGTGTTTAAATCTGGCGTGTCCGAACGTTGTCAGTTTTTCAGTCAGTATTCCTGGGCCCCTATTTTAGTATTCATCATCAGAACACTGAAAAACATTGGCTGTGAAAATCAAATATAAGAAGTATAAGAAGTATTATGTTCGAATTTAATCACTTAATCTCATTTTATTTGATTTCAAATCCTGTATACAGTTTATTATACATATATTTTTAAATAAACGATAACTACTTTAATTAGCCTTAATGATTAAATTACTATAACGAATTACCAAGATTTTAGTAGGATTACCACCAAGAGGTGGCTTTTCCTCAAACTAGTAATTGTATTATTAATATTTATAGTTTACATCAAATTCTTATTGTACAAACTGCATATTTTGTATTTTTTCTTTATTTACTTTGAAAAAAAATATTGTTTGCTGTATTAAGCAATATTATGCCATTATTTCAAAAATCTCGAACGCACTTAAAAATACTGTTAATGATTATACTTATATATCTACGAAAGTGTTTGAAAACGTTATGATAATTTATAAGCGTATATTGATTCAATGCATATTTAAATGAGCTCGTAAAACATTTTCTGATAAAAATGAATATCTATAATGCTTATTAATTTAACAATTAAACCAAAATTAAACTATGAAAATGTTTGAGAAATTAATCACGGCCGTGAAATCAAAGAGAGAACTTTGTTTTAAGTTTTTAACATGGCATTTTTAGCAAAAAAAGTAGTTTAAAGCAGCAAAAATATAATAAACTAGCTGAACCCGTACACTTCGTAGCCCATATATAGAATTCACCCGTGTGCAGTTATTGCTTTCTCTAAATGCAATTCTTAAATCAGATGTTTATTATTTACCTTCTTTCTTTTTTCGATCCCCTATCAACAAACGAATATAATACATATATGACGTCATCAAATTAGTCGCAAACTAAAATTCTCTTTCATATCTTAGTTCGTACGTTCAGAATGCATCCAACGATGTAGCATACATCAATATATTATCAAAAAAAAAAAAAATTTCACATATGACATGCGTGCGTGATTAATATTGTACACTTAAGAGGCCATAACTCCGGAACCACAAATCGCAAAGCGTACAAACTTCACAGAAACTATCTAAATATCAATTTTAATATTTCCTAAAATTTTTATCGAAATCGGTTCGGTGGATCTTGATCTATAAAATTTATTCAAAATGTACATCGATTTTTATATATATAGATTAAAAGCTTATTAATTTTTGACCATAATTCAACCCAATAAAAGCATATATTATGAGTCTTAGTGATAGAAGTGACCAATTTGCAGCACGCGTGTCTTTTGAGGCACATTTGACGTTATTAAATGTCACACTATAGTGTCAGATAAAATAACACAATTTTTAAATACTCGTATTTCTAAAATTGTAATTTCCAATTTTAAATTAATCATCAAAGTTATAAATATTAAACTATACAAAATGTATGTCAAAATAACATAAACAATGTTACTTGTAAATAATTATATAACATATTAAATTATTATAATCACAGTGGTATTTTCCAATTATTATTCTAATATTAGAATTGTTACGATACGATAACAATTCGTAATATAACGATAACATACAAACTTGTAAAGAAAATATTGAATCTTTGAAATTTGATTGCTTTCTGGAATCAGAAATGCATTTTTTATTTGCTTTTCGTACAATTCTTAGATATAATGATTTTTTAAATATATACATTCCGTTAATTTCAAACACAAATAATCATCAGGCTTATATTATTTTTGATACAGTTTATTGAATCGTGATATAGATTTATTGATATTATACAACACATGTTAAACACAAGCTCAATGTTAATCTTTAAAAGCTACATTCGATTATGGTGATAACGATATTATTGGTACTTTATAGGGGATAAATATACATATAGGTTTGAATTTGTATAATTTGTATATACGTCACTAGGTTTATCCTAGATTACTGGATGTAATTAGTCAGCTGAATACCGTTGATATTCGTACATAGAGACGGACACTTGTATAATGTCCATCCAGTTATTGTAAATGATATGTAATACTAAAAAATCCCGATTTGATAGGAGAAAGTCCTTATTTTTCTATATATATATATATATATATATATATATACATACACATGCGCGCGTGAGTTCGTGTGTGCTTTTATTATATTCACAAAAATCGTTCCTATCCGGCAGCGCATTTTTAGATTCAAATATGTTATTTAGGATTTATCGATGTATGAAAAATTAGGAATTAAAATACTTGCCGGTATGTGATTATATATATATGTGTGTGTAGGTGTGTACTATAATATACATAATAAATAAGCTCACGTGTTATCCCTTTAGTGTTAGCTTTAGTGGTGGACGACGTCGAGGGGGGTTGACAATCCGATTTTTCATCCGCCATTTTGTGTTCCCTATTTGATATACGGTCATTGGGTTGGACTTCAACAGAGATTATTGTTTTTATATGACCCGTATTTACGTATAAGCCCATCGAGTAGGATCCATAAATATGGCTTTTTAACACGTTTAACGAGTGCTACGGACTCGGAGTTCGATTAATTAAATTTTATTTCTCCGAGCTTCATTGACATATATACAGAAGTATATTGCTCCGAATACGACTGTGTAATCGTTATATTCGTAAAATATTCACCACGTTACAAGTTTATATACTTAATATATTTATTTAATTTACGTTGTACGGGCATTGCTGAATCACATACAGAATAGTTCAATACTTTTTAGTTCAAAGTTACTTTCTAGTTTTATATGTTGTATCAAACACATTAATAATAAGCGATTTAATTAAATTATTTGATTATATTTTATTCAAGGTCCAAGATTATAATTTGAAAGTAGGTACTCTAAAAACACAATATAATTAGTCGATCAATAAATGTGTATACAATCATATTCATATATTTATTGTACGACAAGAGTATGATTGGGTTCATTATAAAGCTTATATTTTATCTATTTAGGTAGTATAACATTGAAGTTATTATTTTTTAGTATAAAAATACCAATAGTTTGTGTGCTATTAGTCCGTAGAAAGATATTATTTGCTTTTATTTTTTTATATTCAATAATTTTATTTAATACAATAACATTAAGACTTAAATACACCTTACAATGGAATTAATTATAATTTAAGCCAAATAACTTACATACAATGTTTATGCGTAAATTTTCATAACTTAAATAAAACATAATGTAGATATTTATGTATGTAAAATAAAATGTTTAATATGTGTGCATAATTATTAAATATACTCGTACATGAAAATAATACAATAGCTTGTACATAATTTTAGTATAAAAAAATTAAAACTGGGTACCCAAAAAAAACACTAATCGAAATTCGTTTCTTTTTGAAATACTTACTTAAAATGATGATCTTAATTTTTTTATGTGTTGAATTAAATTAAATATTTATCAAAACGTGAACTCAATATAATATATTGAGTTAAATATAAATATTTGACCACATATTATGTGGTGCATCGATTTTCAAACATAAAAAATATAAATTTTTAAACGTACAAAAAAACAACATTCCAAAATAACAGTCATTTAGCCGCACATCTGCAACTCTTTCATGATGTGTATGACAAACACAAATATTGGGTATTTTTGACCGCGTTCTAAAAAATAAAAAAAAGCTTACTCAACAAATACTCTAATCAGTCGGTCGTTTTTCAACAAAAAAGTCAACATGCCGACTCGCAATCATTGTTATCTGTTAAATAAGAGGGCAGATATGATTACAAATAGAGAAGAAAAAAACGTGTTCTAGTGTCATGTTTTACAACTTGGTAAATATTACCATGGGTACCTCTCTATATAGTTTCTATCTATAAACACACACCAGTTTCTTGTACTAATCTTATTTATACTAGTACTTGATAAAGCTTTAAAATTGTTTGTGAATTTAATCATGAAAAATGTATATATTAGGCAATATTTTTAAAATATACGTGATTCTATATTTTATATCATGATTCATTATATTTTAGTTCACAAAATGAAAAACAAAAAAAAAAAAAATAAATAACAAAAAATGAACGAGGGAAGAGAATTTCCGAGTGGTTTAGTTAAATAAAAAATGAATAAAACGTTTATGGAAAAAGAGAAGATTTATGTGATAGTAAGAACAGGCCACCTTCACTTGACGTGATTTATAACCCAAAAACGCTTATTTGTTCACGTTCTGAAAAGCAAAACCGTTCATTTCAAATGGAAATTAAAAATATATAAATAAAAGTGAACTTTAAATTCGTAAATGCCATGAGTATCCACAAATAACACTATAAATAAGTTCTTAGAAGAACGTCCAAAAGTTTAATAAAATAAAGATATTCTGACATATTTAATTTATATTTTATTTTGACAATAATTTTATTTTTTATATAATATTTTACTAATTTAAGAAATCAACCATCCAGGGTGACGTTTCAATTTTTTTATTTAAAGGAAAATTAAAATTGTTTGATAGTAATAATTAGAATCCCATTGAAAATTCTACTCTAACTTTTTAGTTCTTAACATGAATGTTGGTTCATGAAAATATTAAGCTTTCAATCGTTTGCCATTAAATGCAATGTAATATAATAATA